TGTAAAGAATTCGGAAGTGCAACGGTTGGAACAGCTGCTTCCTTATGACTTTAAAATGACGATCTATATGCACTTTCACAATATACCTAAATTCATGGATATAAAAATTGGTTTAAAATCTAGCTGCCATAATCATAGCATATTTATATATTTAAATCTAAGGCTAAGATTGAAGTAACAGATGCTTAAAGTTCAAACACGTTCACTAATGTATTCTAACTCAAAATATCCAATGATAAATTAAACTGGACACTCAAAGGCCTCCGGGTTTCTGACAGACTGACTAGTCTGGCCTAAACCTCAGAGCTTTGTGATGATTCTTCGCCGATAGTTGGAGAAGTTTGTCTCTCAGCGGGCGGCCTCTGACTGATGGCCAGTCGGAGTTGTTGTCCAGAAAAAAGGCCCCACCCCCAGCCTCTTTAGCCAGAGAGCGCAGCCAATCAGAGGTCTGGGAGAGGTAAAGGGACGGCTGAAGCCCTGCCTCTCCCAGATGATCAGCATGTGTGAATACCAGCATGGCGTGATCACGCCACTCTGGACCGAAGAGACTCTGAAAGGAAAAGGAGAAAGCAACATAAATTTTGTTGTAAAACATGATCCTTAGAAGGTTTCAAGTCCACCATAATCTAGTGGTAAAGTACAACATGTGCTGGAGGCAGAAGAAGAAGTTTATTTATTTTCCTTCTTGACTCTCGTAGAAGGAGGACATTTTTTCTCTGTCTCCCAATCCCTCTCTGTATATCCTGCTTAGCTTCTGTGTCTTGTCTTCTGTTGGAGCCTCTCTTCAAATATCTTCCCAAAACCTGCAAACTGAATCGTGGATCTGTTTGGCTGTTCTCTTAACGCAATTGATCGAATTTTCTGTACGGGGAGTGTCCAGATGGGACGTTTTTCTCGGGGTACACAATGGATTCTAGACAGCATTGAAAGATTGTGTGCCTGACGATGATGTCTGTTGAGGTCATAGAAGATCCCTACATAATTGGATTTTTCATAACATGATTTCTACTGTTTGGAGTTTGGGAATACGTTGCATATTGTGAAATTTGGAAGATGTTGGGGGCTGTTTTGGCCAGTGTCAGGCTACCTGGAATGTACAAGGAGATCTGCAGAGCTATCAACACTCAGACTGAGATGTAAAGGGAGCAGAACTGTAAACTGGATGCAATGGCTAAATCTTGGAGACACTTAAAAGCTCGTATCTTGACGGAGTGGATCATAAAAATCTGTTCTTTTGGGTTTCACCATGATGAGACTCCAGGAAAAACTCTGAAAGCTGGCAGAAAAAACATAACAGCCAGCCTGACCCAAACAATTTGCCTCTATCTGGAATTTGCCTCCCCACTGGCTTTAAAGGCCTTTATCTAAGTAACTCTGCTGGGGTGATATGTAAATATGAGCCTCTGCCCCCTCCCTCCCCTGAAGACACCTGTGAAGCTGCCTTGTTGGTCAGATTATGAACTGTGACATCTATCAAGGACACTGACCCACAGCTTCATGGATATTCAGATATGATATATGCATCTAGAAATAGGTATAAATGTCTTAATTTAAGGGTATTTACCCTTAGTTTGAGTAGGTAAATGAGATAGTTTGCCAATGAAATGAGTGTTTTTACGCCTAATATAAGATAATTAGATAATATGCACTTGAAATAAGACAATTCAATTGTGTTTTCTTATTTTAAGTGTAAATTGTCTTGTTCCATTGGCAAACTGTCTCTTTTACCTCCTCAATCCAAGAACAAATGCACTTATTTTAAGAAAAAGCTTTCTCAATTCAAATGTCTGGATCCGCAGTGAGACATTTGAATTGAGAAAGCTTCCTGGAGGGGAAGCGAAACGTCTTCAAACCTTGGAAACCAAGTCCAGTGGATTGTTTTTCAACTTTTACGGCATTACTATGACCTGGATGACTGAGAATCTTCATCAGCGTAGTGTAATTTTGTTAATTCATTTAAAAAGACAATGGCAAAACCTTGTTATAAGTATGTCAGCGCATTGGCCGTTAAAATGTCCTCTGCAGATGCAAAATGACATGTGGAAAGGGCCAAGAGATGTTGATATTTCCTTTTCCGAAGTGAAATATCAATAATACTCATACCCTAACTATATGTTGGTTGGACAAAAACAATTTTGCTTTTAAATTCAGCATTGAAAAAAGAACAAATGCTGGTACAAACTGGTACCAAGGCCAAATGATTTTTTTTTTCTTTTTGTGATAGTTAAATGCCGACCAAATTACCTTGAAAGGTCAAATAAACTGAAATAACCAACACAAAATACGATAGGACTGGATTATATAGCAATCCATATTAGGGTTTAAATTAGTAAAAGGGGAAAATATTGACATAAGACTAAAAAAGGCAAAGACTAATCAAAAAAATCCACATATATTGTTTGTACCTCTGCTTGATGCAGCAGTCGCGAGTTTTCATTCAGCTGATCGACTCTAACAACAACCACGACCACGTGAACCCCGTCAGTGCAGAGCTCCTGCAGGCTCTGTGGGTGGAGCTTCGTTGGGGGTGTGTCCATAACTCTCAACATGAGGTCAGACTCCGCCCCCTGCCTTCTAAAAAAAGCAGAAAACTTCCTGCTTCGGACCCCTAGCTCTGCAGTCACGGGAACGCCAGAAACGCAGGTTCCTGTCTGAAATTCGTGTCCACCTGTAATAGTGAGAAATGTGGTCAGATTCATTCACACTCAAAACATCAAAACATGCACAAGAAGAGGTTTTCAAGACTGACCAATAATTGCGTTCCCCACAGAGCTCCGCCCACTCTGCCTCTCACCTAGCAACAGGACATTTAGAACAAGAACATCCTGTTGCTCTTCTCTTGTTTGAAAACCCAGCCAGCTTAGGATATTTCCACAGTGTTTATCATCCATCTGAGGAAACAACATGAAAGGTTTGCATTGTCTGATTCATCCAAGTCTCTTGTCAATATTCCAATATGTTCGCTCTGGAAATCAAACAAACCTCGATGCTTCCTTTCTATAAACCTCAGCTAAATACAACTTTCTGGTATCAAGAATATTACTTGCTAATGAACGTTTTGAGTCCTCTTTTCTTTTTTTAATGATACCTTGAACCTTTAAATGAATAATAAATTTCAGTCTTACCCTTTGGTACCTCTGCTTGAGAAGCGGACAGGGACTGGTCCCCTTGTCTGGTCACTGTTAGGTATGTGTCTCTGCAGGAGTGGTTACAGGTTAAAGTATAACCAGTCTGACATATCTGCTGCTCGCTCTGCAGCTTTATTGGGCCATAAAAGTAATAATTATCTTTGCATTTCCTCACACTGTAGCACTAATGTCTCTATCATCATGTGTTGTCCACTCTCTGGTTTTACCTTGGGATACAACTGAATTAAAATTGAAATGTTTTTATTTTAAAATGTGACCTGCTGTCAGAGTAACGCTACAGAGACTCAGTGGGACAAAGTCTAGATGCACAAAGAGCTATTGAGTCTGACTCCATCCTGAAATCATGATAACAGTTTATTACATCCACATGTTGCCATGATCTGGTTCCGTTTTATTAAACCTTGTAATTTATAGGCTGATATTTGACACTTGTTGGGGCTTAAACATTGGACCCACAACCCAAAAAAGGCTCAAAACATGGATCCTTAATAGAATTGCCCATGTTTATTAGTTCATGAATGCATTTGATTCCATCCTGCTGAATGAGTCTATATAAGCTACACACACAGATGATGAATAGGGATGGTTACTGAGCCTGAGTGGGAACAGGGTTAAGATGAGCTTTCTTAACATGATCTGAATGAATTGACTAAATATTGTTGTAGGCCAACTTATCCAGTCAGTCCGCATTCTGGTGGAGGTTGGACTGCCCTTGGACAATCAGACCTCCAA